TTCACCAATATATTTTTATATTCCCCTTCACTTCACACTTTACTCAATTAGTTATAACTTTCTTTATGACTTTAATATAACCAATTAATCACAATTCATTAAATAAAAACACCTTCAAAATCACGCGTCTGACTTTGGTTGCATATGCTGTCAAGCTCCAAAATATGCAAAAGAATGAGAGACAAAAGGAGGTAGGATATAACCAAGTAAGCATTAATAATATACAAAGGTGTTCTCTGCTAAAGGTGTTCAGCTCCTTTTCTTCGCAAAACATAAAGGAGAATTCTACTGACTGAGGGTTATAATCCCTAAGTGCGGCCGAAGTCCGCCTACGCAGAAAGGTGTTCTATGCAAAGGGTGTTCGGCCCCTTTTCGTTGGCAACACAGAAAGGAGAATTCTACTGCCTGAGGATTATAATCCCTAAGTGCGGCCGAAGGCCGCCTACGCAGAAAGGAATTCTACGCAAAAATGCAATTGTTAATAAGAACATTGTTTTTTATAGACTTGTTTTTTCCTACGCAGAAAGGGGTTATCTGCAAAAGGTGTTCAGCTCCCCTTCTTTGACAACACAGAAAGGAGAATTATACTGCCTGAGGTTTATAATCCCTAAGTGCGGCCGAAGGCCGCCTACGCAGAATGGAATTCTACGCAAAAATACAATTGTTAATAAGAACATTGTTTTTTATAAAGACTTGTTTTTTTTCTATTTTTAATTTACATTTTTTATCCTTTATTCAAAATCCCCCGATATCTAATTTGGCATTATTTCTTTTTTTGGGAAATGTTTAGTTATTGGCCCATCGTTTTTGGGGTGGGGGCGGAGGGAGAGGGGGCGTGGCCCCCAAATCCCCCTCATTCGAAAGGGGACAGTCGCCACTTTACGAAAGAATTCTCCTTTCTGTTTTCCGAAGAAAAGGAGCTGAACACCTTTTGCAGAGAACACCTTTGTATATTTTTAATGCTTACAGGGTTATATCCAATTTTCTTTTGACTCTCATTCTTTTGCATATTTTGGAGTTTGACAGCTGAACTACGCCATTTAATTTGCATATGCAACCAAAGTCAGACGCATGATTTAGAAGGTGTTTTTATTTAATAAATTGTGATTAATTGGTTAATATTAAAGTTATATAGAAAGTTATAACCCATCGAGTAAAGTGTAAAGTGACGGAGAATATAAAAATATATTGCTGAAGTAGCTGCTTTAAGGAGAATAGGAGTGATAAACATACGCTAATTTCCGAATTTTACAAATAAAGGGCATATTTCTAACCCAATTTGTAAATAAATTAGTGACCAAAAATTACAATAGTGGATGTTAAAATAATGGGTAGACCCTTGGCTACAAGTGTGTGCAATTTTTTACTTACTAAACAGTACCAATTTTTATACCCGAGCGCACTTGTGCACAAGGGTATTATAACTTTGTTCACATCACGGTTGTTTGTAACAGGCAAAACGAATCGAGATAGATATAGACAAATGTATACATAAATGATCAGAATGAAAAGAGAAATCGATTAAGCGGTGACTGTCTGTCCGTCCGTCCGTCTGTCCGTCTGTGCACACGATAACTCGAGTAAAAATTGAGATATCTTAACGAAACTTGGTACGTGAACTTCTTTTGGGCGTAGGACGGATGGTATTGAAAATGGGCGAAATCGGACAATAACCACGCCTACCTCCCATATAACGGTAATTTTAAAAAATACGAAAACTTCGATATTTTAGTAACTACTGAAGATTCACTCAAAATTGATACTTACAATGAGTCTCAGACGGAAAACATGAATATTATAAATTTTTGGAAAATGGGCGTAGCCACGCCCACTTATGGTTACATGTGTATATCTTGGTAACCGCTGCCCCAATTTCTTCCAAACTTGCCACAGTTGTTGGCCTTAGTACAGCATACTAAATGGCTGAAAAGTTTAAAAATCGGACAATAACCACGCCTACCTCCCATATAACGGTAATTTTCAGAAAAACGAAAACTGCGATATTTTAGTAACTGCTGAAGATAATTCACTCAAAATTGATATTTGCAATGAGTTTTAGACGCAAAATAAGAATATTACAAAATTTTGGCAAATGGGCGTAGCCACGCCCACTTATGGTTACATGTGTATATCTTGGTAACCGCTACACCAATTTCTTCCAAACTTGGCACAGTTGTTGGTCCTGGTACAGCATACCAAATGGCCGAAAATTTCTAAACTCGGACAATAACCACGCCCACATCCCATATAACGGTAATTTCGAGAAATGCAAAATCTTCGATATATCAGTAAATATTGAAGCTAATTTATTCAAAATTGATGGTTGCAACAATTCTTTACCAAGAAATACGTTTATGGCAAAATTTTAGAAAATGGGCGTAGCACCGCCCACTTGTGATCACATATATGTATGTATCTCGCTAACCGTTCTAGCAATTTGTACCAAGCTCGGTATGGTTATTGTGCTTGCCACATAAAAGCAAACCGTTGAAAATTGTTGAAATCGGACTAAAATTGAGGCCGCTTTTCATATAACGGTAAATTTCAGAAATGATTGAAATTTCAATATTTCGAAATTTAAGGACGCTAATTTACTTAAAATGTATACACCCCGGCTTATCATGTAGCGGTAGCTTTCGGAAAGGAGGAAAACATATATTTAATACTTGCGCCGGGTATTTAATGTTCGGCTCCGCCCGAACTTAGACTTTCTTACTTGTTTTTTTAAATCCCACGGTTTTTGTTAGTTGGGTCATATTCCACTTCAAACTGCTCAGTTTCCTATGAAAATTCAGGGGCCTTTGGGAGGAGCCCAAGGGTGGGGTACGCCTTTTTAGAAAGCGGGGACTGTCCCCTTTCCAGTGTGGGCGTTTGGCGGACCCGCCCCCTCACCCTCGACCCCCTCCGCCATCAGCCCAAAAACGATGTGAGCGCTACTATGTCGACATTCAGACGCGAAAACTTTTGTTGCGGAAACTCCAAGCTTGTAGGGGAGAGAGCGACGAGGAAAGGGGACGGATACCGAGTCGCCCGTACTCGGGAAACACGCTTTGTGCTCTCGTTCGTCGTTCGAGTAATTCAAGTTGGCGATTCATAGGGAATTTGGCATACATCAAGATAACCAACCGTTCAGCTATAGAAAAACTAAAAATGCAGATTGCTAGTACTTTTTACGCTGATTTTAACTATATAAATATTATTTGCCGCAATTAAAAAGCAAAGCAGATATAAGAGGTAAAACAAAAAAATTGTGATATTTTAAAACATTAATATTTTCTAAACTGCGTAACCGATTTAAAAACTAATGATGTCAAAATAAAGACAATTAATTTATCTTCAAGCTGATATATAAAATGTGTATGCTTTTTTTTATATATTTAAGCCAAAAATATTATAAAACCAAAAAAATGTCATAATTTTTTCATAAAATAACCCTTTTTTAGAAAAAGTCCATAATCAATGCTAAAAAAATTTATATTATTGAAAAAGTGCAAGTTCTTACCTTTGATTTGATATACTTATTATATTATGATTTGCTTTTGAGTTTTCAGAATTCAGTGATAATAAAAAATATAAATGCATGTATTTGCAAATGGATATTTTAGTTAATTAAACAAGGCGAGTTAACAGACTTTTTTGGAAAGGGTACTGTTTTTGTTGGAAGCGGGAAAATTTATGCCGTTTTATATGTACATATATGTATATACTTACAGCTATTTTTCATTTGTTTGTGTTCTGGCGGAGATAAAAAACGTGTTTTGAATATTTTTTGAAAAGATGAATACTCTTAATTTATTTAAAATATATAAAATGTTTGAAAGTGAGGACGGTCTTAAGATTAATGCAAATGTGC